ATAATAATAATCACATGATCAACAATCAGACTGTCAGTTTTTAATCAGGTTAAATGAACATTTTTCTTCTTTGTCTTCATGACGACGATTAATAATAATTAATGATGAAGATCAGTGAAGAACACACTGCGACTGATTCTCGGTCTCTGCCTCTCTTCTCAAGGCTAGTACCACCATCTCAAGACTTTCTCTCTCAAGTAGTCTCCTCTCAGCCGCTCTGAACATCTCAGTGCTGTAGCATCTTCCTCTGTTTCTCTGAACCATGGTGTTGATCTTCTTCAGCAGCTCTCTGACCTGAGCAGGATCTCTGCTTCTGTTTTTAAAAACATGATATCTTCGTCCACACTGACGGATGAAGTCATGGAGAGCTGGATACTTAGTGATAATGTCCTCTATGGTGACTCCATCAGCCTCCAGATGGTCTCCACCGGTGAACAGGACCATGGTGTAACCCGCTACCTCTTCTCCAAACATCTGCTGAATGATTCTCAGTGTTTCTTTGTCTTCTTCAGTGAATCTGCCAACCCAGATCACAACCAGGATCACATGAGGACCAGGAGCAGCCAAGGAGACACATTTAGCGATCTCTTTCTCACTCTCCTCTTGACTTCTACAGGTGTCAAACAGAGGTGGAGTATCAACCACAGTCAGGGTCTGACCTGCAAACAGAGATGTTTCTTTCTGACACACTGATGTTATTGAGGCAGAAGCTGCTGCAGATCTAAAGACTCTTCTTCCTAAGATGGTGTTTCCTGCTGCACTCTTCCCAACTCCTGTTCTCCCCACCAGCACCATCCTGAGTTCTGCTCCACCTGTAGGAGAAGATCAGAGCGTCATGAGTGGAAGTGTTTCCTGTAGTTTGTCTGCAGCTCACAGCCTGAGAACAAACTGACACTGGTCATGTGACCTCAGCAGGAGATGATGTCAGAGCTGCTCACAGCTCAGTAAAAACAAGTCAGAGGAAGTGAACCTCTGCAGGAGGAGCTGATGGAGCAGCAACATCAGGCCAAAAGTGACCCGTGAAAGACCCCCACCCAGCCCACTAGACATCTTTGGAAAATAGACCCCCGACACCCCCAACCACCATCAGGTGCAGTGGTCTACAGTAAACTAAATAACCAGTCTGACACGTTTCCTTGAACACAGCTGTGTTTCTTTATCGCGTCGGTTTGTTCATCCTGACATGTTTAGAGATTAAACGAGTAGTTGAACTCAGTGTAAATGCAGCTGTGAGCAGCTGTTCGCCCACAGCAGCATCTGTGTCACAGTCCCAGCTCCGAGGTCAGCTCTTACCTGTGTGGAGGTGTCCCGCCTTCAGCAGCAGCTCTCTCACTTGTTCCCGTCCTCCATCTTTGTTGTTGAACAGGTGATACGCCTCCTCGAACTGTCCCACGATCTCTGAGAACGAGCCGTCTCCACCTTCACGCACAAAGTCCTCCAGAGGCCGATCCTTCAGCAGATCTCCTCCCGTCAACAGCAGGAAACTCTTTTCCAGCCCTCGAGGCCCGACCGCGTTCACGGCCGCCCTCAGAGCTTCCTCCTGGTCCACGGTGAACCGACCGACGCTCAGCACCAGCAGGAACAGGTGAGGTGTGGAGGACCTGAGGACGTCCCCACAGAGCTTTCTCAGCTGCCGCTCCCATCCTAAAACTCCCGGCGTGTCCACCACTCGGATCAGTTTCCCAAACACTCGTCCCGTTTCCTCGCTGATTCCTGTCGTCACCGCTTTGAAGGAAGTCTTTGACTCGAACGCCGCTCGTCCTAAAATAGTGTTCGCTGAAGCACTTTTACCCACTCCGGTTCTACCGAGGAGGACGATGGTGAGATCTGGATCCATGACCTGAGAACACGTTTCTGCTGTCATTGGAGTTTCTCTGTGTGTCTGTGGAAAGTCTCCTGTGACAAA